TGGTGGTGGTGATACTAATAATGAGGGATTCAGGAAAGGCTACTTGAAGGATGCTACTTGAGCTGACAAAAGGCTACTAGGTGAGGCACAGAGGAATCATTTTAGACATGGAGCACCACCTGCAAAGGTGAGGAATTTTGACTAGGTCACTTTGGCTGTATTGTAGTGTGTTTGAGAGAGGGGGTAATGTGTAGTCAGCCCAGAAAGATAGGGTAGAGCAAAATTGTGAACAGCTTCAAAAACCAAGTAGGAGTTATCTGGTGCTAGAGGCAAAAGGAAGCTGCTAAAGTTTCTTGAGCAAAGGAATGATGTTATGAGACTTTAGGAGATGTTATGAATACTTAAGGAATATCCCTTTGGTAGCTGTATGGAGTTTGGATTTGAGAGGGGAGAAGATGGGAGATCAATTCAGAGTCCTTTGCAGTACTCCACCATGTAGGATGTGAGTGACCAAAAAAAAAAAGGGAAAGTGTTAGGGAAATATAATTGATAAGAAATTGCAACTGATTGGATGGGGGGGAGGGGAATGAGCATTTATATAACATCTACTGTGTACCAGGCACTGTGCTAAGTACTTTACAAAATATCTCATTTGATCCTTATGACAATCTTGGGATGCAGGTGGTGTTATTATTACCCCCATTTTACAGTTGAGGAAACTGAGGCAGACAGGGGTTACATGATCACACAGGATCACATAGCTAATTAGAATCTGAGGATAGGTTTTAATTCAAATCTTCTTGTCTCCAGACCCACTCTATCCTTTGTGCCACCTTGGTGCCTAAATGGAAGGAGAACAGTGAATGAGTATGAAGAATCAAGGATTGCATCTAGTTTGTAAACCTAGGAAACTGAAAGAATGGTATTGCCCTTAAAAGAAATGACTGAAAAGATGATGGCACCCTCAACGGAAATAGAAATGTTTAGAGAGAGTATAGATTGGGGAATGGGGTAAAGATCTCATTTGATCTTCTTTTAAGGGTAATACCATTCTTTCAGTTTCCTAGGTTAGTTTGAGTGGTGGATTTAGGGGAAAAGATAATGAGTTCATTTTTAGATATTTTGAATTTGAGATACCTATGCTACATTCAAGTGGAGCTGTCCAAGAGGCAGTTCTGAAGATTCAGAACTGATGCTCAGGAGAGATAGGTGAAGACTGGTTATATGGATTTGGTGGTTATCTGCATGGAGAGGTAGTTGAATCCATTGGAGATTCCCTGGGAATTCATGGAATCATTTATAGAGGGAGGCGCTAGGAAAGAATCTGTCAAGAATAGAATTGTTCATTTTACAAAGAGGCACTGAATAAGATTGGTCAGAGAAGTAGGAGAATCAGGAGAGAGAATTGTCATGCAGACAGGATATTACAGAGGAGAGGCTATCCAGAAAGAGGGAGTAGTCACAGTGTTAACTGTGTACATCAGGAAGTATGAGAACTGAGAAAAGGTCATTAGATTTAGCACTAAAGAGATTATTGGCTACCTTGGAGATAGCAGCTTCAAGAGCAAAGGTTGAGAGGTGGGGATTGAAACCAAGCAGTTGTGAAGAAGAGATCAGAAGGAGATGAACATCTGAGAAGGGAGAAAACTGAAAGGGAGTGGAGGGAATCAAGAATATGTCTATGAAATGTCAGTATCTGAGCCAAATCATGAAGGAACTGGCAAAGTGGAGGTGAGGGAATATATTCTTATCATAGAGATGATTGTTTTAGGAAACATCAGACAGGCCAGTGTGACTAGAATGTAGACTGCAAGAAAAGAAATAATGTGAAATAAGGCTGTAAAGGCTATGGTTGACTTTAAGTGTTAGGCTGAGTGATTTGGTCAATTTATTGACCCAAACATACAGGAGATTATTTTGGCAATTATGAAAAGGACAGATTGGAGAAAGGAGTAGCAAGGGGACTGGAGAGCTTTTTTTTTTTTTTTTGCAACTATGTGCAACTATTATCTCATTTGATCTTCACAACAATACTGCTGTAATTTATCCATCAGTAGTGGAAACTGAGATTAAGTGACTTCACACAGGTAAGAAGTGTCTGAAGTAACATTTGAACCCAGGTCTTGCTGACCTATTCACTGCACCACTAGATACCTCTGACCAGTTAGGAGATTGCTGCAATAGTCCTGGTAAAAGATGAAAGGTGCTATGGAGACAGAATTGATGGAACTTGCAAATGAATGGAAATTGGCTATGAGGAAGAGGAACGAATTGACTTGGTTGACTGAAAAGATGATGGCGCCCTCAACAGAAATAGAAATGTTTAGAGAGAGTATAGATTGGGGAATGGGGTAAAGATAAATTCCACTTTGGATATGCTATATTTGAGATTCTAATGAGTCATTAAGGCAGAAATGCAGACTAGGCATTTGGAGCTGTAGGACTGGAGTTCAGGAAGAAAATTAGGAATGAATTTATAGATCTAGGAGTAAGCAGCATAGAAATGATAATCAAATTCTAGAGAAACCAAAGAAAAAGTATAGTGAGAAAAGATAAGAGAACCCAGAATATTGCCTGTCAAGGACATGCGTTGCTGGTAGGTAGGACATTGATGTTGCTTCAGTGAAGGAACTGAGGAGCGGTCAGACAGCTAGAAAAAGAACCAAGAGAAAACAGTGTCACTGAAGCCAAGAAAGAAGAGGTTGATTTCTTTAGGAGGAAATTGTTAACAATGTCAATAGCAGAAGACAGATTAAGGAAGATAAGGATTAATGAAAGGTCAATGAAAAATTCAGATCATTGATTTCCTTTGAGAGAATCGTTTCTCTTCAGTAGTGGGTTCAGAAGCCATATTTCCAGGGGTTTTGGAGTGACTGGATGATGAGGAAGTGAGAAGCAGCAAGTGTAGATCTGGGCAAGATTTGAACTCAGTCTTCCTGATTCCAGGTTCAGTATTCTATCCGAATTACTTGATAGCTTGATTTGTTCTTTTGGTTTTGGTTTTTTTTTTTAGGCAATTGGGGTTAAGTGACTTGCCCAGGGTCACACAGCTAGTAAGTGTCAAGTGTTTGGTCTAGAGCTGGATTTGATCTCAGGTCCTCCTGAATTCAGGTGCTCTATCCACTGCACCACCTAACTGCCCTTTACTTGATAGCCTGAAAGGATGCTAAGGCTTAGTACAATAAATTGTTTTTGCCACAGCTATTATGGTAAAGGATTTCAAGGTAATTATCCAGATCTTAAATATTCAGATAATTTTTTAAAAGTACAGCACATTGAAAAAAGTAATGTCAGTCAACAAGCATTTATTAAAGGCTTAGTCAGTGAACTAGCATTTATTAAGTTCTTACTTTGTGGCAAGCACTGTGCTATGTGCTGGTAAAAATACAAGTAGAAAGAAAGACAGCCCCTGCCCTCAAGGAGCTTACTTTCTAGTTGGAGATGGCAACACACGGAAAGAAGCTGAAAAGATTTGAGGGTAAAAAGAGGGCGTGGAAGAGAAAGTTCAGGGAACAGCCTGGAAAGGAATGAGACATGGCTTATACAGGATACCCTCCTGGATATTCTGGAAGGACACATCCTATCAGAGGGAGAAGTTACAGAGGGATGGGGTGACAGAATTTTTCCAATTTGTGAATTCAAAGGTTGGAGTAATTCTTTAGGATAAAGAGCTGTGCTGTAGTAAAGGGTATGAAAGATACTAGGCACACAAATGAAAATAAAAATAAAAATAAAAACTATCATTGCCCAGCAAGGAGTTTATATTCCAATGGGCAGGATAACTGCACATAAATTGACATAAAATGCACACAATGTAGATAGAAGGAAGCCTTAGAGAAGGAGCTAGCTGCTTTGAGTGGTAGGACCCAAGCATGTAAACTGAGTCTTGAGGGAACTATATGAATAAGTGACTGACTGACTGACTGAATGAATGAATAAAAAAATTTACAAAGGCTTGCTATGTGTCAGGCACTGTACTAAGCTCTAGGCATACAAATACAAAAGTGAGGTAGCCTCTACCCTCTACAATCTTAGTGTATTTTAATCTGGGAAGTTACTGCAAGAGAGGAATCAATAGACAATTGACAGGCCTGTTCCAGAGGCAATGGTAATGATGGTTCAGTTATGGTTCCCAAAGCAAGAATTGTCCTTTTGGTGTTGACACTTTTTCTTTTATTTAATAGTGCCCATAAAAGATTTAGTAAAATTTTCTAAATGAAATTTCCTTTACAACACAAGGTCTTTGCCTTGAAGCCTGGCATTTGATAAAAGGTAAATTCTTAAGAGCCTTGGATTTTAGCTACTTTTAGCAGGTTGAAGGCAAATTCTCTATCTCAGAGCCCTTAGTTATGTCACATGTTAGGAGTAACTCAATTAGCATGCCTATATACATGCTTTATAATAGAGTTATTGAGTCATTTTTTTTTCTATGAGAAAAGGTTGGATGAGTGGAACAGAAAAAAAAGTGAACTTAGATCAGTGTGGAGAGAGAATGTGAGTTTGTTAATTAATCCAAGAGGATAGTGTCATACCCTACCAAGTTCAAAGGCTTAAATCAAGCTAAATGTTTAACCATTTAAATTTAGTAAATAAACCGTATTCCTTTATTCGAGTCCATTTTTGTTGTTGTTTCATCGTGATAGGGCAGTTAAGCTGTACTTTTGGAGAGTATATGTAGCAAAGAACCTATCAAACTGAAACTCCTTGGACTGCAAGCCCATAGGACCAGTGTATTTTGTTGGAGGACCAGCCCAACTCATTTCTGAGATCATCACCAGAGGCTTGGCTTCTAGGTGATGAAAGTTTTTCAGTCATAGCAACTCGTGAAATATCTATACTTGGTGAAATCAAAAACCTTGTACTATTCAAGTAATTCATCTACTAAGTCTAAACATGAGACATGTAATCTAAATAATACTTTCCCCCCCAGTAATTCTGTTACAGCTTAGGTTTATTTTTCCCTGTGCCTTTCTAGTAGAGAAATATAAGTGTTTATTTTCTCCAGTGTGAAGAAATCTCATTAACCATCTTTATACTATTTCCTTTTTTTCGCCCTGCAGAACCCAAGTTGGGGGTGGAATTCTCATACCAGATCACCAAAGAGTAAGCTGACTCTTCCTTAATAGCATCTCCATCACTGTAATCTGTCATGCTATTGCCTTTTGGTGTCAGGGCTCTTTAAACCTCAGAACTGCTCCTTTCTACTCCAACAGTTGCTTGTTCTTTCTTATCAGGAACAATTATGCCTGAAGCATTGAAGCTGCAGGCTTCAACCACAGAGTTGATTTAAATTCCATATTGCTGGGCTGGAGACAGTTTCTTCTTGGGCATTGGCAGGAAATGGAGCTGATTTCCTTATTGCTGCTCTAGAGCATTGCCCTTGTTAGATTTACAAATAATGGTGAAGCAGTGTCAGTCCTCACGCCTGTGTGATACTGAGCTGTATTGCTTCCTCTTTGAGATGCTGGTCTCTGAGCAGAATGGAACATGTCTAAAAATTCACCAATTTTGTGAGTTATCTCTTTGGAATCTTAAATTCCCAGCAAAGCACCTAGCAGAAATGTTAGCTCTAGTATCTGTTGCTCATGTCTTACTCAGTTATCCTCCTTGGAAATTTCACTTTGCCAGTGGACATTATTTTAGGCTATGGTGGGGGGCCATGTTATACTTGTTAACTCCAAACATTTGTTTGAAATGCATCATATCACATGAGATAACATGTAAAGCACTTTGCAAATTTTGAAATACTATGTAAATGACAGCTCTTATCATCATCATCATCATCTATTTAAAAATATTAAGATACAATTAAGTTGAAAGAGAAAGTCATAGGGCAGTTACTTTGGTTAATACTCAACCTTCTTCATACCATTGCAATTGAATAATTAAAAGTAAGGAAGATGGCCTGGTTGGCTCTTTCCTAAGAATCACACAGTCCTGTGATCCTTAGAGACGTCAGCTTTGTATCACTTATCCACCAGGGTCAGATGATGCTCCCAAGTACAGTATTTATATACTAATTCAGTAGTCTCTATAAAATGAATATGTCTTAATCATACATCTTGTATACCACAAATCACATCACTCTGGGTAATGCTTAAGTGCCCCTTAAGTAGCACACTTCAAGGTTGATTGTAGAAAAGCCTATTGCATCTGTTATGGTTAATTTCAGCGTCTCTGGTTCAATAGGGTCAAGGAAATATTTACCTTTTCTTCTATTAATGGGGGCTTTTTTTTTTTGATTCGACCTTTGATTTCACTGGTATAGGGAACACTGGCTGAGGGAATTCCCTCTACCTATGGGATGGGCACTCCCTCTGCAATTATAATCTTAGAAAGTTGTCTGGTGCCTTGAAAAGTTAGGTGACTTACCAAGGTCATATGACCAGCAAAGTATATGTCAGAAGTTGGACTTGAACCTAGGTATTTCTGACTCCAAGGGCAGTTCACTGTGTACTATGACATTACCTCTCCATGGAGACTTAAAATATTCCAAGTTCCAACCACTTTACTACTGTTTGACTTCATTGTTTCATTTCAATATATGGAAATAGAGTATTCTTAGTAGACAGATTAGACTGATAATGGTAGAAGAGAGAAAGCATAGTATAATGAATAAAGACTTGGATTCTGGAAGACTAGTTTAAATATCACTTGAAACACTTAGGATGCATGACCCTGGGCAAGCAGGGTCGCTGCTCCCTCCTCCCTCCTTCAGTTTCCTGATCTGCAAAATAAGGGTAATGATGGTCACCTTACAAGATTTCTGTGGGAATCAAATGAGATCATATATGTCAAATACATTTCAAATCTTAAAGCTGTATATACAATATACATGTGAGCTATAATTAATATTACTATTGATTGGGATGGACAGCTCTTGGTTTCTGGCTATACCCTCTTTCTACAACTTTTGGGCATTTCTGGAAGAATTAAATATTGGTGAATGCTTTACAATTTCATAAATGTCAAGAGGATGGCCTTGGTGGCCACCCACCTACTCCAAAGCTTTTATTTTGCAGATGAGGAAGCCAAAGCCCAGTGATGATAAGTGACTTGCCAACTTTACTAAGGTTACTCTCATAGGCATGATGTGATTTGAATAAAGGTCTTCTTGCTCCAGAACTGGTACTCTCTCCACTGTGCCTCTCTGCTTTCTGTAGGGGAAGGGAAAATCTTAACTGATGGCTGGATAACATAACTATGAAATGTATCGAAGGTAATAAAAAAAACCCTAAGAGTTGTAGGGAAAGTTAAGAGTTTTAATTAATTATGATTAATGAGTGCTAATTAATAAAGGTTTTGTGGGGGAAGAAGCTTTTGTTGGTATAGAAAGACTTGCTTTTGGAGAAATGGAAGCTGATTTAGACTTGCTTTCTTTTGTGAAGTAAATCTGTTTATTCTAGGAATAAACTAGTCCTCCTTCAGATGTTATTGGTGGGTATATATTTATTAGTAACTCATAGACTTCATCCTTGAAATTGGCAAAGATGACAAAAAAGACAGGAATGTTGAAGAGTTGTGAGAAGATAGGTAAACTAGTGCATTGGTGGTGGAACTGCAAAATGATAAGACTATTTTTGTTTTTTGTTTTTGTTTTTGTTTTTTGGCTAGGCAATGGGGTTAAGTGACTTGCCCATGGTCGCACAGCTAGTAAGTGTTATGTGTCTGAGGCTGGATTTGAACTCAGGTCCTCCTGAATCCAGTGCTGGTGCTCTATCTACTGTGCCACCTAGCTGCCCCCATAAGACTATTTTGGAAAGCAATTTAGAATTATGCAAATAAGCTAACTAAAATGTCCATACCCTTTGGCCCAGAGCCCAAGGAGGCCATGGATAAGAAGAAAGAATTGGAAACAAAGTAGGTGTCTGTTGATTGCAAAATGGCTAAACAAATTTTGGTACATGAATATAATAGAATATTGCTGTGCTGTAAGAAATGACCAATGTAATGAATACAGAGAAAAATGGAAAATCTATATGAAATGATGCAGAGTGAAGTAAGCAGAGCCAAGAAAAAAATAAACAATGACAACAAAAATGTAAATGGAAAGAAAACTATATAAAAAAATGAATATTAGAAAATTATAAAGAACAAGCACGGCTTGAAAGAAAAACTATGAGAATACACCCCCCACCCCATTCCTTTGCTGAGATGGGACATTCAAAAATATTGTATATGGTTCACATTTTCAGACTTTTTAAATATATTGATCAGTTTTGCTGATTTTTCTTCTCTGTAAATCAAAAGTGATTGTTTCAGAATTATAAAGAATAAGCCTGGCTAGGAGGAAGAGGTAGGAGAGCACAACCTCATGCTGCCCCTTTGTAGAAATGAGAATCCACAAGTATTGTACATTGAACATATGTTTTTAATTTTTAAATGAACTGGTCAGTTATCCTGGTTTTCTTCCTCTCCTTTTCCTTGTTTGTCTTTTAAAATATTATTTGACTTAAGAGATGACTCTTAGGAAGGGGAGCAGTAACAGTGGAGATTATTGTGGTCATAAAAACCATCAATAAAAACTTTTATTTTAAACTGTAAGCTTCATAGAGTCATAGAACTGGAAGGACCTCACATTAGTGGTCATCTAGTTTACCTCTCAATTTATTCTTCATATGAAGAAACTGAATCTCAGAGAGGTTGTGACTTGTCCTTGAGAGTGCAGTCTGCTTTGTAGGTTGTTCAAGGTCACTCAGTGAGACTAGGCACCAGTTTCCCTGACTCCTGATTCTTTCCACTTCGGTACCATTTACTTGACATTGGTGATGTAGAATAAAAATCACTTAGCTAAAGTTTATCCTTGCTACAGTATGCTGCAAAAGCATGCCTTTAAGGAAGTGGCTTTTTGAGGTATGCACCATTGCCTGCCTCTCTGTGGAATTCCCAGGATTTTGAGCCTAGAGCTGACTTTGATTCCAGATGCATTATGCTAAGATACCATAGTTTCTTCAAAGCATCCCTAGCACCAATAGTTTCACTTTGCTTTCACCTTTACACGAAGATGTAAAGTTGATCTGTGTTTCAGTGGAAGCATTAAAAAACTGAGGTGAGCAGGAAGAAGCACTTGGAATATTGTGGGCAGGGTGAGAGAGCAGTGATTCAGCTTCCCATCACTACTATGGAGCTGCTTTTCCTTGTGTGTTCCTCTTCTCTGCCTACTCCTTTCTACCTAGACTTAAAGTGTTTTCCTTTATAATTCATCAACTCAAATAATTTTAGAAGGGACCTTGAAGATCATATACTCTATTATGCTTGAGATAATCTATTCAAACCACAGTAATAACAGCAAACTGTGATTTGCCCTTGGCCCAATGATTAGTATGTATGTCAAAGGTTCTTGCAAATCAGAATTCTAGGTGCATAGTTTAGATACGTGGCTATTCTTATAAGGTCTTGTCTCTTGTAACAGCATTAGATAGTTATTACCCTTGAGCCAATGGGGAGTATTTTCTCTTTTCAGTGATAGAGAAGATCTATAACTTGGCTGGTGGGAGGGAATGAGTAAGGAAAAGCAGAGCTTTGTGAATATGTTCACAAAGAGCTGTAGTAACCCTTCAAGAAAGAGGGGCAGAGAGAACAAGTGCAATTTTGGGTCTCCCAGGCACATAAAATAGTGACCTGGAGAGTGGTGCAGATGAGGTGAATGTTGTGGGCTTAGAAATTAGCTTGAGTGTTGTGTTTTGAGAATTGGGGGGAATTAGATGCTCAGGTTTGGCTAATAGAGAGTGCCGGCTGGAGGCAGAGGTTGAGCTTGAAACATGCCTATTGATTGGAACCCACATGGTTTGCAGGAATATTGTGTAATGTGTTTGAAAATAGCAAAGGAATAAGAAATGGGTAGTTTTAATTGCTTTGTTTTTGTTGTAGTTCTATAAACAGCAGTTCAAATGCCTTTACCCAGGCATCCCTGAAAAACACACACACACACACACACACACACACACACAGATGGGTTGTTTAGCTCTGTCAGAGCTGCCTGGGAGGGTGTATGGAAAGGAGAGCTTGTCATTTCTGTACCAGTGATGTAAAGATGTCACCAGGGAGTTGTATAGCAGCCCTAAATCCCAGGATGTAGAGAGACCAGAGGAGGGGAGCCTGCA